CACCGCGTGAAAGGAGAAGTCAGAGAAAATTCCCATCCACCCACAGCAGATAGCCCCCCTTGGTGAATCCCAAGCCCGGGGAAGGCAGCTTTCCAGGCGGCTAAGGAGCGCTGCCGGGATGCGGGCAGGCAGCAGCACACAGCGGCAGACGCACGGCAATGCAGAGGCACTGAGCCCGTCAGACACTGGATTTCTCGTTGCTGGTGTTTTTAAACAGGCAACTGCCTTTTGGACTAATTCCATCCACTGTAAGCATCGGTGTCCAGCTTCTCTGTAACCCTTCTTACAGAGTTCTGTCTGCACTAGCAAGCTGGGACAAAAAATGGTGTGAACAGTCCTGTTTATGTGATGATCCGTGCCAGAAAATAGCGATTATGGGCAGTAAGAACACCCAGGATGATTGGAGACCGCTAAGGGCTGTCCACTCCCAAGTTCAACCTTTCTGGCAGCCGTGTAACTGCAGGTCCTGCAACAGCTTCACTGCAGCAGCTGTATCACCAGCCAGCACCATTTAAAACATTATTAGGCTTTATAGTTTTGGACATAATTGAACATTAATTGTACCTTGGAGGCGCAGGCAGCGGTGGAACACCAATTCTCCTGGGTCCGAGGAAGCCTCGTCAATCTGCAGGATGCACTTGAGAACACTTACATGAGGATAAACCAAAAAACCATCCCTGTGTACCCAGCAGAGAGCCTACCCTGCAGTAAGGGTCACTAGAGCCTAAATCATTAGTGTGTTTTGCTAATGCAATTACTACTCCAGAAGACGGTAACTTTTTTTGCAGTCAGACCATCACGCAAGAGGAGCTACCTGAAGACATTCTGGTTCGTTCTCCCTGTTGACAAGCCCCAAGTCCGTGCGCTGTACCCACGATGGCTTTGATCATCTGATCCTGTACTGTGGCGCTTACATAGAAACTAATCTGATTGCAAAAGGCTCTTTAGTTTTCAATTTAGCTGTATGATGAGCTCCACGTTTCACAGAGGGGAGTGGATTTTCCGCGGTATCTGGCCATCAACCAGCAGCAAGGTCTCTTCAGAGAAGGGGACACCTGAGCGTTTGACATAGATCTGTTGTGTTCTGACGTTTTTCTTATTTGGTACCTCTTAATCGCAATGGTTCCAGATACGGTACATTTGTGGGGTTTATTTTAGTAATGGGATGTTGTCTGCACTTCAGAATATGGACATTCATATCTAGAGAAAGCCCTTGGTAGTCACCCTGCTGGAAATCGGCAGAAAAAAAGGCCTAATTCTGCTCTACAGCTGACGCAAGCCACTGCAATCCTTCTCCCCTCAGCTGCCTGCTTCTGGATCCACATCAGCATCGCTGAGAACTGCCCGGGGTCCAGCCGCCGAAACCAGCTCCAGCAGGGCAGGCCGTCTGCCCGCTCCAGACGGTTTGTAGCCAGTCACACATTAACTCCTCTGCACAGGTCTGTGGGAAGGCACCCGCCTTCCGAAACGCCGCTCCAAATTCGCCAGAGGTTTAAAACAACCGAGTTCAACGACGTTACGCTCCGGAGGAATTTGACCCTTTGAATTCTTCCAACTGGTGTTGCAATGCTGTTAATATGTGGGTTGCTGAGGGCAGCTCGGTGCGAGGCTTGCAGTACCTTTGACCCTCCCCTTCTGTCTGGGGCTGCGGCAGATGAGCCCGGCCGAACCTCGCCGGGCAGCTGGCGAGGTCCCTGCCACAGAAACCTGCCAGTGTCCCATGCCAGCGCAGGGCTCAGCCTGCGAGTTTGCACCCCCCGTGTCCCCCTTGGCAGCTCACCAGCTGAGCTGTCAGTGGGGAGACTGAAGCAGAGCCAGGTCTGTGCTGGTGATGGGGAGACCTTGGGGTACCCCCGCTCATCAGACCCGGTCCTGGGGTGCCCGTTCTGCTTCCCGTCAAGACTGGGAATCCACATGTCACCACGGAAACAGAAAACAGCTCTTCTGAAAGCAAGCACCTTTGATTTCAAACAGCAGCAGCAAACCACAGGCAGAGGGTTCCAATCACAGCCCACCTACGTGTGTTGGGCTCTCTAGGGGACAGTCCTGTGCCTGGTTCCTGGGGCTGGGAGGTAACATTTTTCCCCCAAGCCTTTTCAAAGTTCCCCCTACTCTTTTCAGAGCCCTTTTCCCCAGATTTCTTCCTGATTCTCTCCCTCCTTGGTGCCAGCCCAGGGTGTTGATCTCAGCAGGGTCACAAGTAAACTTCAAAGGGACTTGCACTGCTTGTTGAGGACCATGAAGGCACCACCTGCGCCATCTCATTTCCCCTTCCGCCTCCACACCAGATAACGGCATGGCAGGAACCCTCCTGCCACCTCACAGCCAGGCTGGCGACAGCCATCGCATCACCAGCCAGGACGCACATCGCTTGCTGCTGACTGCTTCTGTTTCTTCACAGTCACCACCAAAGTGCGGTCCCGCAGGCAGCACGGGCTCCAGCACGTGCCCGCGGCTCTGCCCGCCACAGGGGAGGGATGGATCACGGAGAGCAGGGGTAGCCCCAGCCACGCCATCCGGAGCAAACACCAGCCACACTTGCTGCCTTTTACCTCGCACAAGGCTGGAGTAACACCTTCTCTTCCACTTCTTCCATCCATTTTCCACCCTCGGAAGGCGTGGTGGAGCTTAGCACGCTGGCTGTCTTAACACCAGCACGAAAATCTCCATTTAGCCCTTTTCGGTGGTGCTGAGCAGTGCTACCTGCAGCTGAGTGCGCTGGACGGTGAGAGCACTGAGCACCCAGGGCAGGAAAGGCCTCGAGTCTGCAGAACATGAATGTAAGAGTCTGAGTTGGAGTGTTTCTGCCTGAAAATGCTGGCCCTGCATCTTTTCATTCTGCAAGTGGGTTTGCTCCTCTCCTTTCCCCTGTCAGAGAGGAGCCAAGTGCTCACCTGAGCCCGGCCTGTGCCCACCGCGAAGAACATCAGGGGGGTCCTGGTGATGTTGAACACCACCGAAGGAAGAAGAAACTGTTCCAAAGCTAAAATATGCTCCCAAACTTGACATGGAACTTCATGCTGTTCTCTCACCGTTTGTGACAAGGTTTTGGTGATCTGTGAACAAAATCCTCCGGCTACACCGCAACACGCAGAAACATGAAGAAGCAACTTCAGGTGAGTTTCGCAAGTTGCTCTTTCCCCCTTGACTGCCACCAAAACCAGGAGGAACTCAAGACCAAGCCACAGCAGCAGCATGAGGCACGCTTTTGTCCTGAGACACCCTGATTTCATCGTGGCACATAAAGTCAGTGGCTGTGACTCACCTCTGCTACTACACAGATAGTCATGGTCACATTATACCTGGAGGAGCAAGGGGGTAAGTGAAACATTAAGGAGACTTTGCATTTCTGGATGGTGACATCACAGCTGTAAGTCACCGAGGCAGCCTTTAAACAGCTGTAAAACCAAGCCCCGCTTGCCACTGCAATTTTCCTTGCATTAGAAATAGATTTGGTTACAGCTTCTTGGTTACAAGCACCTGCACTTTGGTAGAATTTCACAACCCAAGCTCCCACTCAGCCCAAAGCTCCTTCTTGCCATGCACTGGGTGAACACGGCCATGGGTCCCCCAGCCCAGATACAGGGTCTGGCAGCCCCCCCCGCCCCAACCCGCTGCACCTTGCCAGCGGCACCGCAGTGCGGAGACGCAGGGGGGGG